TAAATATTCCATCCTTGCTTTGGCTACAAAATTTGTTTTGGCGGAAAGGAGGAGGAAAGACTCACAACACATAAATATAGGAGAGATAATAATAACCATCCGGCCTTTTTAACATAAATAGGGGTAAAACTACTCGTCACTGTCTGTCAAACTGCTCTGAGCACATTGAGATGTTTCCCATAACAACATGACTGATTTCCACACCCTTCTACCAAGAAACAGAGGAGTGGTGGCTTACACTATCATTTATTAACTTTTTGCAACATCTCTACCAACTTGTATTCCTTCAGGACTGATGTTATGCACTGACCTGATGGGCCCGACAAATGAGGTCCATGTCGTGTTTGTGAAGGAACTTGGTGACCACGTCTGCGCCAAAGGTGAAGGAGACGCCACGGTCGTTCTCTCCCCAGCCCAGCACATCTTTGTCTGGGTCGGCCCACAGCAGGTCGCAGAGGAGGCCCTGGTCAGGCACGTCAGTGGGGCGCATGACCCTTCGCACCTGCTCCATAGACTGGAGGTCTGGGGATAGTCCTGGAGAAGTTCACAGAGAACATTTAAATGTTGGAAAGCGAAGAAAACATACAGTAGGTTTGGTTCTATGATCCGTGTTGTAAATGTGATTTCTGTATGACTCCAATCGCTTTTTATAGTAAAAATCGGCAAATTTGCCGAGCTCCGCTACAACTACATGAGAAGTGAGGCAGCTCTGCCTCACGTAACCCTACAGAAACTGGCTGGAGCACGGGCACTAATTTAGCACGGTAACTAATTTTGTGCCCGCGCTCCAGCCAGTTACTTTGGGGTAGGGTGAGGCACAGATGAGATCTGCCTCACCTCAGATGCGTCACCCCACAGAAACTGGCTGGAAAGCGGGCACTAAGCGCATGCCTGTTACCATCTCACTGTAGGCCACAAATGTAATGTTTGTAGATCCCTTTATTACATGTATCCTCGGCATCCATAGTCTCTAAATAACTTATTTCACGTATATGATATTTAGGCTCACTGGTCTCATCGTACAATGGCAATGAAAAAAGCACCAGGAGAGGCAGCCATAACCTCTGCCGCACTGAAGGGGGCGCACGTGAGCCCACAGGTTCTTGTTGCTACTGTTATTCTACACAGAGACGGTAGACGCAAACAACAAACTAGACTTTTGAAACTAGAGGAAGATAAGGAGGACTTTTACAAAAAAGTAATGGAGATTGTTGTCCAGAAGGATAGCATGGACTTCATCTTCAAGTCAAGGTAAGACCACATTTGTAATGAAAATGGGATCTTACTAAGAGAGAACAATCCAATATTTAAATTTTGGGTATCCTTTTGTTGAAGGGTCCGTTTAAAATGGATCAAAACATCAGACTAAAAAAAGCTTTTGAAAATAACAGAATATTTCGATTAAGGTCAAAATATAATATTTGTAAATCTGACTCTGAAAGAGTCAGTGCCTCACCAGCCATGAACCTCACCGCACGTGACTGCTGGACAGATATGTGCTTCTTTCTTTTTGCTCCTTTCTGTGATGAGATTTTATGAGTGAATGACCATGGCATTTTATTTTTTAAAACGTGTAGTTGTCAAGAGACCTTACCAGGTCACAGAGTATATTAATTTGTAAGACATATGAACTGTGTTAAAGCCTACATTACTTATTTTGTTAGATAGAAGGCACCGTCCAGCAATGCAAAGGTCATAAACAAGGTCTGTTTAAGTTCGCCTGTATAACAAAATGGTGTTCCGCATGTTAGCAGAACTTAGTTGTGATTAGAAATAAAAAGTGCTCTTTAGTCATGACTCCTAAACAGGGTAAGGAAACTAAATATACCCAAACAAGAAATGAATATCCCACACAGTACTGCAGGTCTTAAACCATAATGTTGACAGTAACAACAGTGCAGAGGCGAGTTTGTTTGTGTGTGCACTCTGGATGGGCGCCAAATTAACTATTTGATGAAGATACCTCCATGGCAACAGAAGATCTTCTCATCAACAATGGCTGCAACAGGCAAACAGTTGAAGCAGTCAGTGAAGGTCTTCCACAGCTTTATGTTGTATCGCCTCTTACCTGTGGGAGGAAAGCACAAATACTTGATGACAATCTAATCTCGAGAGCAATAAATTCTCGGCAGCCAAACCTATTGCACAACATTGGAAACACAATATTTTCCATAAACCTGGCACTGCTAAATAGCAGAGAAGGGCATGTGATTGTTTACTGCACATACTTCCTTATCATGCTCCTTAGCCCGAAGCCTGGTGCACTGAGAGCTTATTGCAGTGTGGCTTTTGTCAATACCTTTTCTACTCTTAACACCGCTTTCTTTTTTTTAAAGTTCAATAAATCAGACTGAACACCAATAACTTTTCTAAAGCCTACAGGCTTGGGATTTCTTAGCAAACTAATAGTAACTGTAGATAGTAGAAGCAAACTAGTGTCTGCTTGTATCTGGATACATGCCACATGACTTACACTCATCGTAGAAGCCATATATTCTGTTAATGGAGGCGCACTCATGGTTTCCTCTCAGCAGAAAGAAGTTTTCTGGGTATTTGATCTTGTATGCCAGCAGCAGGCAGATGGTCTCCAAAGACTGCTTGCCTCTGTCTACATAATCCCCCAGGAACAGGTAGTTGCTCTCTGGTGGAAAGCCCCCGTATTCAAACAGCCTCAGCAGATCATAATACTGCCCATGGACATCACCTGGGGAGACAAACAGACATGCATTATTAAAGTGGCAACAGCAAGGACGGTCAAAGGTGTGATTATCTTATTTTGGTATGAGCATAACAAATATGTTAGGAACATGCATAGAAGCCCGACAACACCCTGCAAATAAACAACACTTTGTGATGTGCAATGTATTTTTTTAAATGAACACTCTTCTCAATGTGATGCTTGTCTTGTTTTTTGTGATGACAACACAAACCACTTAAAGGGAAAGCAAGCATGAAATGTGACTAAGACTGTCCCTTTAAAACCATTATTCTTCATTAAGTGGCATCAGCAGTATGACACAGGAGGGCAACTCCAGGGAGACATGAACTGCACAACAGCACTGCCCTAGCAAACCAGTTTTATCAGCTCATCCCTATAGTCCTATAATTATGTTGCAAGGTCACAGCCATGAACGATATAACGCAAATCTAAGCTTTCTCATTACAGTCCAGCACGTTAAGCTACAACAGCCACCTAAGAGTGATTGTAAATGCAATGTGACCATACTTGAGAATTCCCCAGACTCTAAAGTACACAACTAAGCCTTACCACAAATCTTAAGGGGGGCCTCAAGTTCGAGCAGGATTGGCTGGCTGAGGAAGATCTCCCGAGATTTGAGGCAAAGACCACGGATTTCATTCTCTGTCAGCTGAACATTTTTGCCAGGTCTGGAGCCTTTCACTGTGAGGGAAACATACAAGAATGAAAAATTAGAAAATAAAAGACAATAAACACAGCAGAGTTTTGTATTCATATGTGCAAAAGGAGGCCTAGCTAACTAACAGTATCATTGATAGCCAAGTGAGATTCGGGATTATGTTCCTAAAATGGGAAAACACACCCTACCAACAAATTCACATGTTTTGAGTAAAAAAAGGGCTGGCTGCCATGGGCGGTTGGCTTGTGTTAATGTGTACTGTCTGCATGCTGTTTAGTATTCAAACATGGACTCCTTCCTCCATCATTCAAGCAATCATGATTATATAAAAGATGTTACATTTAAAGATGAAAATGTGGAATAAATGAAAAGGTAATACTGTGAATTCCACGTTTTTCCAATGGATATCTGAATGTTGAAAGCTGAACTATAACCAAAAGTAGCCATTTATTTTTTACCAGTAGTGTTATTTTTTTCATTATATAAATGCATTTCACCATGCCCCATTACCCCTAAATTCAGCCACAGAGTAGTATTACATATGTGTGCCCTTTTGCTCTTATATCAACAACAAGTACCAGTAATCAGGACCACTAACAATAAAAAAAGGCCATCTGGTGATATACAGTAATGCATGTAAAAACTGTTGATATGTCTAGTACACATATATATTCTGACCTTATTGGTTTTGGATATATGTACTCTTGAAACACGCCAACTCTATGAACTACTCTTAAGGAAATATGCAAATAAACTGCTCCAGTTGTGTTACATCTGTTTTAAGTAATAATGCAGGTCAAACACAGCGGCTCGCACTGTCTGATATGTGGAAATACTTCACGGGTAGAGTCCAACAAATATATAGCGCGTTTACTGGGTACTGTATTTACTGTTTAATGAGCGGGAACAACAAAAGGTGAATTTGCTGCTAGGAGGATGCTACTGACCAACATAACTGGCGGTCAAAAGCCCGTGTTTCGTTAGCAAGAGATAGACTCTGGCTAGTATAGCATAGGTGGCTATCGTTGTCTAGCATCTGTTAGCTAAAATGGCTACCTCTGTGAATACATATCGAGCAAAAAAACCGCCTTACCTTCCAACAGACGTTGTATAATGGAGTCGATGTTCAACTTATCAGCTTCGGCCATGCTATTCCTCTATTTTGGTCGGGTTTTAAATCACTCCTACGAATTAGAGACTTAGTAACTGTAAACGGGCTACCGAGTTACCGTTAGCTCAACTAGTTAGCGTTAATCGGCTATCGTTAGCCCGCTAGCTAACCTTGGGGCAGAATTGGCAACCTCAAAATGTGAGGCTTGGTGCTGGGTTTTTAAAGATGTGATGGCTGGCATATACTTCAGAAATCCGCATTCGTCAACTATGTTCCATCAGATATCCGAATTCAGTTAAACCATACGTATTTTCTCGTGACAACGATATTTCTGCCGTAGCTACTAGCACCATGCCATGGACAAAAAAAAGGCTAGATAAGCGTTAGCTTAAAGCGAGGTTGAACGGAAAAGATGAAGATCTGACCGTTCCCGCGCTTCCATTGGTCAGTGTTGCCAGTAGGCGGTGCTTGGGGGAGGCATTATTGTCACTGATTGGCTGTTGCCAACGTCGGTCAGCATTTACTTATCGCAAAACCACAGTGTAAAAAGGACAATCATTCTCGGGTATATCTCGTGTTTTGTTTGCATTACATTATAGATTGTGTCAAACAATTCAACATACAGCGCGTATGTCCACAAATACTCAAATATTCGAGCTTGTATCGCCCTGTATTTGTTGCGCAGCACAGCGACACCCACGGAAGTGACCAAGATGGGAAGAAACGACGACGTATTTCGGCATGACGCAATGTCCTAGCGCCTGGCAACACGCTACGAGTGATTCATTCTGAAGTTAGGAGTTAGCTAGGTTGCTAACTGAAATATAAACATGACTCTATGTCGGATTATCGTTAACCCATCCGTTGTATGCTTATAATACTGTTGTTAACATCATACAACGATCCAAATCATGAAGCTGCTTCATAAAGACATTGAAAAGGATAGTGCCGGGTGAGTGTCTGGCTAATGTTAGCTAGCTAACCAGCATGCCATTTTACAGCTGATTGTACTTGTGTTGACTAGTTAGAACGGAAATAGTCCCATATGTAATAAAACATATACACACAGGATACGGATATAGCTTTAATGACCGATCGTAAACAAAGCCAGTAAACAAAACCAACCCTGACTGTGTTATTGACCTACACTTAGTTATTATAACTGGATCAGCATGGGTCTGCGTTATTGCCCTAAATAATAAATAGACAGCTTTAGTATTTCCACAGTTTAGTGATAATGAAAACAACTCTTGACTTATTACTAACATGAATGACACCAACTCAGAACCTTATTAATTGCATGTTGTTCTTCAGTCAGGTTACTCTGATGCCTGATGAGGCGGAGGATATGTGGCACACCTACAATCTGCTGCAAGTGGGGGACAGCCTGAGAGCCTCTACCATCAGGTAACCTCTTAGTAATTGTACTCCGTTTAATAAAGATGAAAATGAAGCGTCTTTGTGGACATGTTTATATTGGCAGTGTCATTGTTTGCATTCATGTAGTATCAAGGCAAAGATTGAGCTTCCGTCGTCATGACAACCACTGATCAGATTTTATTGACATCCATTACAATCAATGCAGCCAGCCATGCAGATGGACTTTGTAGTAACTTAACAGCTGATGGATAGTTACAACACAAAGCTTTATTTACACAAAATGTACACGGTTTGCAACAATTATGCTTTTGTAAGACATACATATTTCAAGACCAACTTTGTTCCCGATAGCATCAGACACCATATTCTTAAAAAATTGCACTTAGGAACTTTTTTACTTAGCTTCTGATTAACTTTGTGCCTTAGCACAACACACATTCAAGTACGGAGATGTAATGTTTCCAATACCACAGTGTCCAGTTTAGCTTTACTAAAACGTTGTTTTTTCAATCTGGGTTTGTATATGATTGTGCTTGGTTATTAGCTTTCCAATGTTTTTGTCATGCTCTTTTTGTGTATCGTTAGGTGTTTTAGTCTCATATAAACACAGAGAACTAAAGTCCCTTTCCCCCGTTTTCACAGGAAGGTGCAGACAGAGTCAGTTACTGGAAGTGTGGGCAGCTCTAGAGTTCGCGTGACTCTGACCTTATGTGTGGAGACGATTGACTTCGACTCCCATGCCTGCCAGCTCAGAGTGAAGGGCACTAACCTTGAGGAGAACCAGTATGTCAAGGTCTGATATTTTTGATGCAGTAATAAGAGATCATTACTCGCGTAGATTGTGTTTGATAAGTAGACCGTTTTTCCTCTCCCTTAAAAATGATTCACACCTGTGAGACACATGACTTGTCTTTTTATGAAGGCTGGCCATTGTAGACAGGCAATATATACAATGTATTTAGTGACATAAGCATCATTATATGTTAAATAATAACAGCAGTGTCTTTTTGTTATTTTTCTTCTCAAACATCTGAAGATTATAAACATAATAATGTTTTTAAATCACAATACGTTGTTCCTTCTTTTCTATTATTTCCCAGCCATACTCTTAATTTGTTATTGTCTTAATGTTTACTTTTGTTAGATTTAAGTAGCTGTTGTGATCATGTTCTTTTCTTCATTCATCAGATGGGGGCTTACCACACCATTGAGCTCGAGCTCAACAGGAAGTTCACTCTGGCTAAAAAGAGCTGGGACAGCATCGTGCTGGACAGAATCGGTATGCAGGTGCTAACATATACATTTGTCTGAGATTACAATTAGTTTGTAAGGTCAGAATAATCACAGCAGAACATATTGCCTATTCTTGTTTTGGGTTTGTTTAATCCCAAACTTCCCACATGCACGTCAACCAGGACTTGTAAACAGTAATCACATGGACACACATCTCTTGTTTACCTGACAGAATATCATGGGCTCTATATGCTCATCTGTCTCAGTCTAAGCATCTATTTATTGGTAAACATAAGACATGCATGTTAGATTAAGTTCCTGCATTTAAATCAGAGTTGTTTACACTCCCAACAGAAAGCCTATAGTTCTCTTGAAAGAGGATTAAGACATTTGAGCCATACTTGGTGCAGTTATTTGCACTTCAGTGTGACCATGTTTCTCTAATGATAAAATCAGCCAAACCACAGGAACAAGTAATCTATGTTTGGAGAAGTCTTTGCGTATTGACAACTCAAGTTTACAGCACTTTTGGTTTCATAATCTGTTTAATCCACTTTAATCTAGACAACTAGAACAAATAGATTTCCATGTTTTAATTCTTACATGACATAGACGTTTGTCTCTTTCTGTCAAACGCGTAATTGTGAACCGAGCCAAAATAGTTAAAACAACATAGGGAGTCCAAATGGACATTTAAACAGTTTAGAGTGCAAAGTGATGAGAATCAGCTGTTTTTTGCAAGTGATTTAAATCCCTTTAGTTGAAAAGTTCCAGATTGGATGTTTTTCTGTTATATCCTTTTATCAGCTACTCTCATACCACTTTTGTTCTCACTGCATCCCATAATGCCTCGCTCCAGGTAGCAATCATCCCAAGTTAGATGTATACACTAAAAGCTAATTATGAATGCATTGCCTGACTGACAGGGGAACATATCACTTGGGTTTCTTTCACACACACAAAAGAAACCAGTCCACTTGTTAATTTATTTACATTGCCAACAAAGAGAGAATGTTGCCATGGGAACAGGATAAGGAGACAGAGCAGGAAATAAACTGACAGCTGGGGTCCAATGAGTCATTACTGCTGTAATCTTCACCACCATGACTTTCACTTAAGTGTTTTAGAAATAATTTGCAGTAACTCAAATACATTTACCAGTGCTGCAACACATTTTTTTAATATGTCACAAAGTACCCACATTTGTCTTCTCAATTCTTTTAGAGCAGGCCTGTGATGCGACCCAGAAGGCCGACGTGGCAGCGGTGGTGATGCAGGAGGGGCTGGCTAACCTGGTGCTGGTGACCCCCGCCATGACACTGCTCCGAGCTAAAGTGGAGGTCACCATCCCTCGCAAGAGGAGGGGAAGCTGCACTCAGCACGAGAAGGTAGGTCAGCTTTATGGAGCCGTGCTGCTGTAATGAGCTCAGGATGGGTGTTGATGGGGGAATAAAGTCAACAAGTATAGCTAGTGTGTTGGCCCAACCACCTCTGATTATTAAGGAAAAACTCCTTTGTCAAGTCTTTTTAAATTAAAGACTTCTTGAGGATCAGAATCAGAATCAGGTTTATTACCAGGTAGGTTGACACGTACGAGGAATTGTACTTGGTGTCGTGGTGCATACATAAAAGTAAAACAAAAATAAAAAAACACAGAAAACTATTTTAAGAAAACTATAATAACATAAAAAAATATTTGACATTTTTCAAAATATAGCAGTATTTACATTGAAATGGAATTGGAATAAAATATAAAATGTGTGCAGTAATACAAAAACAAGATATTGTGTGCATCAATGTAATGCATAGGGTCTATGAGATAAGAAGCACTGCCAATAGACCGAGTCCTGCTCAGGGCCAGTTCTGCAAACCTACACCCGCAGAGATCCCTACAGAAACAACTGATTACCCATAATTATCTCCAAGTCCAATCCTGACCTGACCTGTTAATATAAGTCCCATGACCCGACCCGTGATTAAACACAGGCTACACAGTCACTTGCTTTAAAAAGCTTTATTCTTACTCTGCTTAAGCTGTGTTCTCCCTTCTTGAACCACAAATCCAGCTGAGGAACGTTCTCTCTCCCTGGCTGTGTGCTCCATGAAGGGGAGGGGGTGCAATACTTTAAAAAAAACCTGCCGTCTGATTATGCTTGATAATAACAGCTGATTCAGATGTCCGAATAATTCAGTCATTTTCATTTCTGCTTCTCCAGAATAAAAACTACAACATCATTTAAGCGTTTACCTGCTGCTAATTTTAAATGTATGCCTGTATCCTTTCTTGTGAATTTATAGGCATGTGTATTTTTGACTCATATTTAGACATATTTAATTGTCCTTTCTGTTTTTATTCTTATTTATTTAATGGATTTTCACATATACAGTATAATAGGGTATATGAATAACTGCAAAATTAAACTACAAAACAATCACATTTTAAAAATTAAATGAAACTAAAGCTTACTGGTATTTTTTATAAAATTGTACCATCTCAACATGAATCAGCATTAAGGCAAGAGTCAGAGAGATGGAGTGTGTGTTGTGTATGCATAATCACGTATTTCTGAGGTCGTGAGACACCTAAAGTGTGATTAAAAAAAATAAATAAAAAAAGGACATCAAGCCCCTCATGTATTTGGATCTGGTGTATTTCTCCTGTAGTCTGAACTGTTTGTGTGTGTTTGCAGGCGCTGGAGAGGTTCTATGAGGCTGTCATGCAGGCGATTCTTCGCCACATCAATTTCGATGGTAATGCTGCTGTGTACACAGACACGGACATAAACACACACACAGTATGTTCCTGTTTCGTGTTGCACACTTCTCCCTTTTTCATAGCTTGTTCCCACCACATATTTCACTGTTGTTTTATTGTTTTCACATAATCATTGCTTGAATTGAAGATAAGAAGTTTTGATTTTCTCTTCCTCTTAGTGGTGAAGTGCATGCTGGTCGCCAGTCCAGGCTTTGTGAAGGATCAGTTCATCACCTACCTCTATAAGGAGGCGGTGCGACAGGACAACAAGGTCCTGCTGGAGAACCGACCCAAATTCATGCTGGTCCACTCCTCATCAGGTCACAAGTACTCACTCAAAGGTATGACCTGGTGGGCCCTGAGAGAAAAACATTTAAGGTCACCTATTATGCAAAATACACTTTTTCATGTCTTTTCTACATAAACATGTGTCCCCTCTGCGTGAAGAGATTCTGAACGTTTCAGGAACAAAGATTGCTCTCTTTTTGTCCTGATGCATTTATATAAAAACCTGTCTGAAAATGAGCTGATCAGATTTTGGCCACTTTATGATGTCATAACGATTTTTTTGGCTTGTGTAACCATTAGCCAATCAGCAACCAAGGTAACCCCATGGGGAAGTGGGGAGTGGCTCCTTATTTTTATCTAAAGTAACAGACAGAGAATCAGCACTTTGGAAACAGGGCTGAAACAGAGGGGATTATGGGACGTTGCAATGATCTGTTTGGTGTTTCAAGCCAAACACTTCAGAGACATGTTTTGTATATATCTGAGACCTATAATATATTGATGAAAAACAGTATAATAGGGGACCTTTAAACCAACCAAGGTGGAAACTAAATGAAGTGCTTGTTGTTTTGCAGAAATCCTGTGTGACCCCACAGTGACGAGCAGGCTGTCTGATACCAAGGTGAAGATGATTTAGTATCTTTTTTTATCCTCTTGTAAACAAATGCTCTCAAGCTGACATGCATGTTTTAACTTTCAGGCAGCATCAGAGGTGAGAGCACTGGAAGATTTCTACAAGATGCTCCAGCATGAGCCTGACAGAGCCTTTTACGGGTGAGTGATGACGGGGGAGAACAGTAAACAGAGTCATTCCTCGGCCACGCTGATAATAAACAACCTTTGTTTCGGTGCATCCTCACAGAGTGGCTCATGTGGAGAAAGCAGCTGATGTCCTCGCCGTCGACACCCTGTTGATAAGCGACATACTGTTCAGGTACACACTGAAATGAATCTCTCAACATCTGTTTTAAATACACAACGCACGTTTGCTTCATACAGAAAGAGGTGTTGGGTTAACCTAGCTGCTGATTTATGATCAGCAGCATTCAAATACAACTATCACATACAAATCATACACCTAATGGCTTTTAAATTCAGCAATTTATAATATGTAATCTATTCTTGCAACTCCTTTTGACTTATCAGTGAGGTGAATGTAGTCGACACATCAAATCTGCTCTGTGTAAAACAAATGTTGCGTCTACATGCTTTCATCCAGACATCAGGATGTTCCAACGAGGAGTCGCTACGTTCGCTTGGTTGACAACGTGAAAGATAATGGAGGCAATGTCAGGTACTAAATATATTTGAAAAGACTCACAACACTAACATACACTCAGTATTGGTCCTCTGTATTCTCTGCCAAGCATCCCGCTGATGATCTTCTCTTTTCTTCTGCAGAATATTCTCAAGCCTTCATGTGTCTGGTGAACGTAAGTTTGAAAACCATTCGGACTATTTATTTAACATTTTAACGACAGACCTTTTCTATAAACACATACAGTAGCATCATGTAGTTGTGTATCAAAGGTTCTCTGTGGAGTCTCTTGTAAATGAAAAAAGTTTAATTTTGGTGTTCCTCACTTTGTGACATCATGATCCCAAAGAAAAATGTGGTTACGTTACGGTGTCCCCATTGCGGCATATAAATATATATAATCAAAGGAATGAAGAAATAAAAAAACAAGTACGTTAATTATAATCCATAGTAATTATTTGTATTTATATGTTTTTACTTCAACACACACAAACAGTGTTAACTCATTACACCTACTAACTGTGTGCAGCCGAATACTGTATAGGGCACTGCACGCAAGCACATCATCGTGCGTGATATAACTAAAGAGGATCTGCTCTTAACCTGAATTTCCCCGAGGGGATTAATAAAGTAGTCCTTCTTCTTCTTCAAACATTGCTCCACAGTGTTACTAGTGGTTAAACAAACACCTCATTGACTCTTTTAAAATGGGTGCAACTCTGTAAGGCGTGTTGCATAGTATTGCCTAACTTGTAATGACCAATATGTCTGCACAATGTTTGATAACTGGCTTTAGGAGGAGTATACTGGTGTCCTAATAGCACACTGACCTGATAAGACTCACAACACATGAATGAAGGCCCCTCATTTTTCTTTTTGAAGACGTACAGTTTCTCATTTGTGTTGAATCAATTGAAGTTCTGGTTGTGTGTCGTCACCTTGATTTATTTGTCTCCTCAGAACTCACTCAGCTGAGTGGAGTGGCTGCCATCTTGCGGTTTCCCATCGCCGACCTATCAGAGCCTGAGGACGACAGCAGCTCAGACGATGATTGATTGACAGAAATGAAGCGAAAGAAGGAGGAAATAAATAGAAGGGGGTCGTGTTGCAGATAACACAAGAATGCATTGACTCAGCGTGTTGTAAAACAATAAAACTGCAGGTATTCTTTATTCCACCTCTGCAACATCCAGACCTCGGTCAAATATAATCAAATAATGTAATGCCTTATTTTGGAGCTTTTGGTTTAAAGGTGACGGTGTGCTTGAAAGGTGCCGGTTAAGGTGGCCAATGATAAGGAATGTAATATTTGTTGCCAAGTCCAAATGAAAAGTTACAATTATGACATTTAGCAATATGAAAAAACTGTGATTTTTCTTTGTATATACAATTTATTTCTCTTTCAATTAAACAATAGAAGCATTCAACCAGTTGCGTTGTTTCACTTTGTCACATTCTCGCACACGTGAATGAAAAACACAGAGCCAGATGTAAAAATATATAATTTATTAAATACAATATTTTACATTTAAAAGCTATTTTGGTTATGGGTAATAGGACCCAAAACTACTGCATTTTAACAAACTAAAAATCAAGTGTGTTCAGGATTTTTTATTTGATAGTGTTTTTGAGTTCCACAGTTACACTGTCAGTTCCTCTTCTTCTCTGGCAAAACGTCAAATTGCAAACTTCCCTTGTGAAGAACGTCAGCAGCTAAGACTAAAGTGCAATATTTAAAACAACCTTCCTCTCTCCTAAATCTCATTTCCTATCAGTTCATGAGTGTGCACTTTATACGCTTTGCTCAGTAGGACACTGGAAGGTCTTAATCCATTCGAAATCCTCCAGAGTGCCCCAGTGCAGGTAGATAATGGAGCACACCACCATGACATGCATTATCTGGTGGCTGTTGCCCCAGTTGTCAAACAGGCCGGGGACGAAGCGCTCGGGGATCTGGATGATGTTGACCAGCCCCCCCACTACAGCCAGAGTGTCCATGATGACGAAGAGACGCAGTGAGTGAGGGCTGCCCACCCCGCTGCCGAACACCCTGAACAGGAAGAGCAGGAAGCGGAACATGGCCTGCCAGATGAAGGCTTGCAGGCGCAGGATGTTGGTGCGGGCCGTGGTGGCGCAGTAGATGCCGTACGCTGACAGGAGGGTGTAGGCCAGCAGGGCAGCCTGGCGCAGGAGGGGGTAGCAGAACAGGGTGATGTGGATGATGGGGAGGGCACCTGGGGACAAGAGGGGGTGATGTACAAGTGAAGAAACAGCAGTGAAATAATATCAAGTAAGATACATTTGACACGCCTTGATTTTGAGTTTCAAATGTACAAAGGTGTAGACTTGAGACGTAGATGTACTGTCAAACCATAACAATGTAGACTTCTGTTTTACTATCAATGTTGTGAAATGTAAGACTCATAAATCCTTTCTTTGTCTCTCAATGGGGACATTTACATTATTACAACAGCAGATCATGCAGGCAAAGTGAGGTAAAAATAAAAATGGCTTGTTACAAACCAGATTTCAAGACTTTTAGGTCAGAAATATGTATCAACAAGCCTTTGACATTGTACAATATCAGAATGAGAACACTGTCTGGTTCAAAATTCAATAATAATTCCTTCTGCATTGGAGTTGCACAATGCTCACCCTGTCTGGGTTGTTTTTGCTACAATGATCAGCCTGCTTAATATTATTTGTAACTTTGGGAGGATATTTGGCAACAGGAAAACTTGGCTGTCTGTAATAAACAAAATAAGGACTATTTCTTGGAGAAGGTGGTGACTTTGTGTGGAATCTCTGCTGGTTGCTTGTAGGCCGGAGAAAGAGTCACATGTTGTCTCCCACAATGTTGGCTTCCCTTATTCTTTATAGTACAGACTAAACTATTTAAATATATATTATTAAGGGGTTTTGATATCTTTGGAAGGAGCATGGCTAGCTGTTCCCAGTCTTAATGCTAACCAAAAAAGAAAAATATCAGATAGAAAAGATCCAATTATCAACAACCTACCTAGGGTATTTACTAGGCAGACCCCGAACATGTCCACGGAGAGCAGGGTGTCGTACACATGTTCCCCTCCCACATGGTTCATGAACACATGGTAGACCACGGAGCCCACTGTGGGGCTGAGGCAGGCCAGGTAATGGACCGCACAGATCCAGGAGCTGTCCACCTCCATCCAGGGGATACTGAAGGGCAGTAGCACCAAGAAGAGGAAAAAAGGGACGCCTGAAGGGATGGGAAAATGAAAGGGAAAATAGGATGAAATTAGTTAAGTGAAACATTTTCTGTTAGAAAGAACTGTAATTAAAAGCATTACCCTTAAGTGTTGTTATTGCAGAATATTACTTTCAGTGCATACAAAATGCTTGATTTGAAGTTTGTAAAGTGGACCCTGTGTAATAGTCTAATTGCATCTGTTTTTTAGCAAGTGTTTAAATATCATGCAGAGCAATTTTAGGGATTTAATAGTGATGCTTCTTAAACAGGAAGCATGTGAGAGATGTGGTTGTTGTTCCCATTCCAAGAGACAACCTAATGCCCTTCACTTCCCCTTTGTAAGAGTGTTAGTGTTAATGAACTAATGGGATAGTCAAGCAGAAAATGGAGCAAGAGGAAGATACCTTTCGGAAGTTCAAGGTTGGACAGCTTTTAGCTCATGCACAGCTCATCATGCACTTTGTTTATATACATTTAAAGTTGTGCTCGTCTTTGCACAGCTTGATTTTATTTTTGAAAGTGTTCAATAAAATGCACACTTTTAAAATCTGTGTTATAATTCTACGACTGCGTGCTATCTGTATGAAAACCTTTGTATCTCCAGGATGCTTTGCCCATAATAACTCATATGCGAGCATGCACAGCTTAAAGGTGTCAGGCAAACACACACACCTTCAAAGACCGCTTTAACAGTAGGTTATTTCCAGGACAGGATTCCCAGGGGAGATTACCGCTAATGCCCCATATCCTCATTACACATCCTCGTCAAGTATACTTGTAACGGGCCATAAGTGAGAGTAGTGACATTGGTGACCCATTTGTTTGTGCAACTGACATTTCTGGGAGACATTTTCTCTGTGTGTTACTGTTAGATACATTTTAATGGGATAATTCAAATGCAAACAACATTTGATATAATCTCAAGATTGTCACTAAGGATAAAGATTTACATAAAGGCAGTGTAGATCATTTCTGCACTTACCATGGGTGTAAATGTTCCCCAGCTCATTGTGCATGTAGAAGAGGCTCCTGATGCACTCCTGGGCCGTGGACACTGGCCGGTAACCCGTGAGCACATACTTGTTGAACTGAAGGTGTTGTGGGGTCTTTGCAAATTCCAACAGCCGCGGTCCTTTGTAAAGCCCCATCATGACTTCCTGCAGCCAAGGCCCTCACATTGAGTTGAGGCTTCTCACCATTTACATCCTAAACGAGGCCACGCTCTTCACTCCGAGACACATTCATGACCACAACGAGCCGGAAATTCTGCTCCCTGAATCCACCATTGGACAGGTGTAATACCAAGCAAGCAACCTGTTGAGCTGGCCAAGTGGCATGCTTTCAGGAGGGCCAATCAGAAAGGGGTCTTAACCCTAATCCAGAGTAATCCCCACAAATAGCCATGTGCACTACCGCAGCCTTTACATGGCTCCAAACAGACTCAAGTCATTGTAGAATAAGGAGAATTGTGTATTTCACCTGTTATATACTGCACATGATACTATAACCCATGTTCATTGATAAATGAGTTGCATTCAGGATAATCTGGAGATTACAATATTTAGTGACACGGATAATAATATAGCATGTGCCTTTAATGGGTTTGGCTAAATTGTAGAGTTGGAAGTATTTAGATATTTTACTTAATTAAAAGTAGAAATAGTGTAAAGTAAATGTCCTGCATTCAAATTATATTTGAAAGGATATAATAAATATGCCTAATTTACCAAAAGTAAAACAGCCCATTTCAGAAAAGTATATATTTTATGACTGTTTGCCATCGTGCTTCCTCATAACATTATAAGGCCATATATTTTATAATGGTAAATGATTGATACATAAATGTGTTCCTTGTTGTTAGCTGTTAAAGGAGCTTTATTTACATACACAACACGTCAGTCCTCTAGGGTGTTGGTTAATTACACCACAGATAAATAAAGTTTATTTTATCCGATAATACATGATAAACTATTCATTGATTATATAGTTTTATTAAATACAAGAGTTTTAAATAGAGTTTTATGGGAGTAGGTATACAGTAGCAGGAATTGGAGTACAATTAGCTCGCACAAAAGTATCATACTTGAGTAAATATTACAACTTATTGTCCACTACCGACGCTGTATATCAAATGTTTAGAAACACACAAACAACCACTTTCCACTGTTGGTATTCATCGATGGTTTTATTCATTCAAATTCTGTACAATAATAAACAGATATTTGCCACAAGTAGTAAAAAACCCTCTCCCAAGCAAAATAAATTAGACTGAACTATGTTTACAGGATTTATATGAGTTGATAATATCAGGCAAAACAGACTTCTACCACAACACTGATATTCGCAGCAGACAAACTCCATTTCTTTGCACTGTGCAGTGAGCAGGCAGTGCAGGATGACAAGGTAATGTAGGGTACATACAAATATACATAAACAAGTAAATCTAACAACTCTAAATGCAGTTTTCTCTCTACAAACAAACACAAAAAACACCAGGACTATTCAAAAGACAGAACAAAATAATATACAATTAGGAAATATTCAAAAATAATATACAACGGCTTAAGAAGGTTATAATCGTCGTTGTCTGCAGTTTTAACCTGTGTGGAGAGACACGAGTTAGGTAGATGCACAACAAATGGAAAATTATAATGTCTTAGATTGAGTGATTCTGTTCTTACCTTGATAGCCACTATTCCCAAAGAAGCCATTCAAATCAAATTTGCGGGTCTTTGCTCCTTCTGAAAACGAAGATAAGAACAATAATCAAACAGTTGTGCAAACAATGTTTTATTTCAAAGTGTTTGCCCGGAATTCTATGTCTAACATGGTGAATTTAAAGGAGTAGTTGGACATTTTGGAAAAAAAACCTTATTCCTTTTCTTCCATTTATACTACTTTCATATCTGTAGGTTTATTATGTAGCTTAAAAGCACAATATGTTGTTTTCTGCCACTAGGTGTCTCAATCATAACAAAAATTAAATTTGTTGATATTTTGGAGTAGTGTCAGGTCATCAGATTCACCACAGTCAGTCATCACAAGGGTTCATGTTACAAATCAGTGTTTCTCCAATGCCGTCTGGCTGCTGCTATCGTTTGCTCACAATTTTTCAAAGATGATGACTAAAACCCTTCATCGGGTAAGTATGCTATTTTCATAAACAACTAAGATCTTAAAGGTCTAAATGTGGCTTAC